GTCATCAAAGAGTCTAAATGTCTTCATACATCATATCAAACACTTTTCTATTAAGCTGCTTAATGTAAAAGAACAAGGAATAAAGATAGCATTCCACAATGCATGTGCAGAGATAAAGCACAGAGCAACAGATTCTTCAGTGACATTAATAAGGTATTCGGTACAGTAAGTCTAAACAAAGTTTGTATGAGCAGAAGTATTTATAGTAACCTCCTGCTATCTGCCTCAAATGTAATTAATTGACTATATAAAAATCCATTAGCATTCTCATTTCTTCTCTCCAAACTAAACCAAAGCAGATAACATAATTCATTAGTCAGGATACAAAAGAAAAAAAAATCATGATATTCCCTTGGTATTAATGCAAAATGTCCTTATACCTCCAATGTTAAAAGGGAAAACTAGTGAAAAGAGTTATGCCTGGATGTAAGAAATATGAAGGATGTCTCAAGTGAAATAAACCCAACAAAATCTTCCTTGTCAATGATTGAAAGCAAATGGCACATGATCTGGGTTCAAGAAGTCACTTTATAATTTTAATTTTTCTAATATTATCTTTTTAAAAAGGAGGTTTATTGACCTCCTGTAAAAATAACTCAACCTGTCATGTGATCGCACTGTCCACATCCATCAAGTTCACCCAGATCCCAGGAACATAGCCCAAATAAGGTTTAAGCTACCTACATGGTAAGTTGAAAGACCTACCACACTTTTCTCCTTTTCAATTAAATACAAGAGATAACTTATTTAAACAAAGTCACATAATAAAATGATATATTAGAGAAACTTTTAGTAAACAAAGTCTGATGCATAATTTCTTACCTTCCTTACTTTACAAAACTACTTATAAGTGTAAGCCTGCGTATTAGTCTTTACATTTCTATCTTACCAAATTTATTGTAAAAAGCACTCTTTACTCTCCTGGAGGTGACTTTTCCTGTGTCTCCAGTTTGCTTTGCATTCAATTCCTGTATGATTCTTTAGCTGCCAATATTACTTTCCATTCTCCCTTATTTTCTCCCTCTAAACAGTCACTGAGAAAGAAAGGTGCACCATTTCCTGGTCTTAGTTTTCCTGTGTCCTATCTTCCCTAGGAAAAAAAAAAAAAAGAAAAGAAAAAGAAAAAAAGAAAACAAAAACAAAAACCCAGCAACATAAAGCATCTTATTGCAGAAAATTTTAATTGTCTATCACTCCTGTCCTCCTATACCAATAACTCCTTCCTTACCAACATTAATAGCTTATTTTCCAGTTTAAACTATTATTAACTTAGCTCTATTTAATAAATCAGTTAAAAAATCTATGTGCCTACAGAGGCAGAAACCAAAATATTTTAAAACGCCTACACACACATTTTTGAACTGTGAACCAAACTAATTTATTAGTGATAATGTTCACTCTTCTCCTTCTAATGTTTAAAGCAGGATTTGGCACCTATTAGGAGATTAATAAATGTCAAATATTTAAATAAATGGTGAAAGGATATTTCCCAATACTTATTCCTAAATCAGAAAAAGTGAACTGTTGTGAAAGTAAACATTTAGAATTTGGGCGCTGTACAAAGATAACTTTGGTTTTATTTGTAGTTCTGAAATTGATGGATTTTTTTTGAATACAAAATATTTTTATTAATATGATTTTTTCCTATCAGAGATTGTCACATTTTCATCATGTGATTCCTTGAACTTTAACTGTCTCAATTATCTATCTAGAGTGAAATAGATAATTCTAATTATTTCGTTACTGAAGCCAGAAAATGACCAAGTAATGAAATTTAGATTCTCCTTAAGGTGTAACTGTGGCACAAACTCAGAAGAGAACACACTAATAGGTCTTCTACACATTCTGAGATTTTGAGATAATTATTTGATAAGCAGATGATAAACCTCACCTTCTAGAATGTGTCAGCAGTGTAAGGTAGTTAGCCCTTACACTGCTTATCCAAAATGTTTCTAAATACTATAGCGATGAGTCCAAAACTCTCAACATAAAGTCTTCCCATTATTAATTAACATTTCACATTATTAATTGTGAAATACTCAAAATTAATCTCTCCTTACCCTACACTGATAAGGCACATTGTATACCTGGCAGAAAATTTATTGCTCTGTCTTACCTTAAAATTATTCATTTATGTATCTGTCTTCCATATGAGATTGTGAGTTCCCAGAAGGTAGATATGATGACTTATTCATCCATATTTCTTCTGTATCTGGCACATTATTACTTTGTAATAATAGATGGTCAGAAACACTTATTGGATTAAATTTGCATATCTAAGATTCTTGACAATCCATAAATCAAAATTGTATTACATGCTACCCAGTAAGCTTAGTCATCCCAAAATATGACCTTTTGGGTAGTAATTCTCCTTCCTTAAAAATCTAGAAACAGAACGGCGTGGGAAATAAACTGATACAGATATAACTTATCATAACAGAATCTTCGCTACTTTGTTCCAATTCTCTGTGGCCCTGATCATTCTACAAAATACAATATTGTAGCTCCAGGAAAATTTATATCCCTGTGGAGTTTCCTAGCCTTTGTCACCATTAGACTGAATCACAGGAAAGCAGTGCGGGTTGAGGTTAAGACTGCAGCCTTTGGAATCACAGTGCCTGGTTTCAGATCTCAAGACCAGCACTAACTTGCTGAGGGGTCCAATGCAAGATATTCAACTTATCAAAGCTTTGCTCACCTCATTTTTTAAATGGAGATAGTAATAGTATCTACCTGATAGGCAATTTTGAGGAATAAATGAAATAGCCCATGGACAATACTTAACAAATCAGCACAGTGTCTGGCATCTAGCAAGTGGCTAGTTAATAAAAGTTTAAAATTAAAAAATTATTTGCACTCTTACTACAGCGCTTAGAATGAAGTAAGTGCTTATTAAATAGTTGTTAAATGGAAAAACTTTTTAATTACTTCTAAGCTAATCTTTCATGATTTTATTTGAAATAAATTTCATGAATACCATACAACACCAGCAAATACCCTAGTGATAAAATACAATTCAAATTGGAACATAAAGGCTATTAAGATTTCTCTTCACTCATGTATATAAGCAAGTGGTAGGTAGTATGTTGTTTCAATTTTAGAAATTTCAAAACCATTTTAGTAACAGATGGTTCTTTCCAAGGATTTAAATAACATGGAGAAGTATGAGGCTAAAGTGAACCGTTTGCTCTCGCTTACTTATTTTTTTCTATAAACCATGTCTATAGTCAAAGCAAAATGCCATGTTCTGTTTAGATTTTTAAAAAGACAATTTTTTATATAGGAAGTATATTTATTTACTCCACATGGACTTGAGAACAGTGACTTACTAAATGGCCATGAGTAGAATACCAAACTCAATTCTTCGTCAGAGTATTAACGATAAACAAAAATATTAAGATAGTCAAGATTCTACAGACAATGAGTATGTACATAAGTTATCCTGTGTACTTATACACTTAACATTTAAATAATAATTTTCATATGCTCTTAGGCATAAAACCTTACCTAACATTAAATAACAAATTTTGGGATTAAGTAGGATTATGATACAATATTTTATAGGTGATGTACATAATTTCATATAAAAATGATCTTTTAATCGATTTCACTTCAAGTGCAAAGAGATCTTTAATAAAAATCAGCTTGATGGCAGAGGTCAGGTTCTCTGTTACTGCATGAAGTATCTAATTTGCATTTCAACCTAAGTGGTGATACAGATAATATCCTGAGCAGTAAAAAAGGCCAAATCATAGAGCAAAATAAACTTAAAAAAATACACCTGTAGGGCTGGCCCGGTGGCGCACTGCTACAGTGCGCCACTTGGGAGAGTGGCGGCACTCCCGCCGAGGGGTCGGATCCCACATACAGACCGGTTCCCGCTCACGGGCTGAGCGCGGTGCGGGCGCAACACCGAGGGTTGCGATCCCGTTGCCGGACACGAAAAAAAAAAAGACAAAAAAAAAATACACCTGTAGGGCTGGCCCGGTGGCGCACTGCTACAGTGCGCCACTTGGGAGAGTGGCGGCACTCCCGCCGAGGGGTCGGATCCCACATACAGACCGGTTCCCGCTCACGGGCTGAGCGCGGTGCGGGCGCAACACCGAGGGTTGCGATCCCGTTGCCGGACACGAAAAAAAAAAAGACAAAAAAAAAATACACCTGTAGGGCTGGCCCGGTGGCGCACTGCTACAGTGCGCCACTTGGGAGAGTGGCGGCACTCCCGCCGAGGGGTCGGATCCCACATACAGACCGGTTCCCGCTCACGGGCTGAGCGCGGTGCGGGCGCAACACCGAGGGTTGCGATCCCGTTGCCGGACACGAAAAAAAAAAAAGACAAAAAAAAAAATACACCTGTATACATCAAACATTGAAGCATCAGCCCTGAGTTTTTAAATAAAAGAATCTTCCTTAAAGCACTAATCCTTCATAAGTAAACACCTATTTGATACCCAGATATCAGTGAAGAAAAGACCGTATTTTACAGCAATAAAGTAAATATTTCTGTGAGATAGATGAACACATGCAAAAATAGTCACCATAGTATCTAATTCTTTTAGAATTAGATTAGCTGAGTGCTTAAGTTTCTACCCTCTCTATAAAAGATTTTTTTCTTTCAGTTAGTCTAGAGTTATACTACTATAGTCATTAAATAGCAGGAAAAAGTTAAGAATGGTATATATGAGGTGTCTTCAAACAGTTCATGGGAAATTCATATTATATTTTAATTCAATTTTCCCACGAACTTTTTAAAGTACTCTCATATAACACCCCTGGTCCGATGTAGGTCGACAATGCATCATCAAATACATTAATATTTCTGCAACAAACTATGAATTATCTCATCAAGTGGGATAAATTTAGTCCAGAAAGAGATTCTGGTCAGTTTGAGTCATGTTTTGCTGCTAAGTGAATTCAGACTAGTTCATTTCTTTGAATTACACTATGACAGACACACAGGTGAGAAATACCACTCTATGGAAAATAAGGAAGACTCTTACCTTGGCACATGAAACCTTTCTCTTCATAGCCAGCGTTGCAGGAGCACTTGCCAATGGGTACGAGCCATTCGCCTTCTGTACTGCAATACATCCTGGGAGGATCCTCCTCCTTAGAATTGTTGACGCAAGAACCTCTGACCTCCACCAGGGACTGGGAGTCCATAGGTACAGTGTCTGGAAACATAGCCAGATTCTTCACTGTAAATGGGCACTTTTTGAAGTACACTCTCACAGACACCAGGGCAACACAAGCACCAACATCTTGAAAAGCCAAATAGAATCCCTTTTTGTTGACAGGACCTACTTCTCTAATCTCAGTGTTGAGTTTAAGAATACGGTCCCCAAGATCCATTTGAGTGAAACTTTCATCAGCTGCGATGGTGTCAATCTTTGTAAACTGATGCTCCCGGAATTTGACCCCATGATCATCATCTGACTCCATGTAGTACAGGTTGAATGTCTCTTTGCAAGTTCCCAAAACCAATGGAATGCTATTGCAGTCCCGTAGAGTGAACTTGAGCTCCACATAAATCTTCTGAGCTGAATTCCTGGGGACCCAGTTTGTCCTCAGCCAATTATTTTGACTATGATCCATGACATTGCACACCTGGTAAGTCCTGATGGGTGTGTAATGCTCATCAACACCACTGATCTCTTCCCACTGATGAATTAGAAAAAAAGAGAGGCAGAATTAATGAGTTAATCATAATGAATAATTAATACAAGATAAGGGTGTCAAAGGCATTCCAGGAACTACAAAATAAATAGCCAGAAACTTCAGTGTTACACATTAAAAAGCATGAAGTGGAGCATTTCCATAACATTCTTGTTTGTAGTTTTTATTATTTACAAGGCTCTCTGAGTTCATTGACACAAAGTAATTTATAATTTTGATGAATGCATATGAATTGCATTGCAGTTTGTTGGATATTCAGGGAAAAGTTGCTTAGCAATTAACTGAGCCCAGCCGAACACTCCAGGATCAAAACCTCAAATCAGTTGTCTCCAATGAAACTATGATATGGTTTTCTTGTACATTTTTTTTTTATTTTAAAAAAACAGGAAAAATTACCACTGCCTAGAATTCATCTTTATTAATCTTCTAATTTGGGCCAGATTTGGTAAAATAGGTATATGGCAAAACAAAGTGACTCTAAATGATATCATTACCATATATCTTCATGCATGACATTTTTAAATGTACTCAATCATTTCAATGGATACATGTTGGGGAACTATGAAAGAAAATGTTAAGTAAAAATATAAATATGCTTCATTTCCTTCAAAAAAATAAAAACCTAGGAATCGTACATGAAAAATACAAGATGTAGTGAACATTTCAATTCTTAATGCCTTTTACCCACTTTGGACTTTTACACAGGCAAGAAATATAAAATTATTTATTTTTGTTGTTGCTATAGCAGTTCAGGTTATCCTAATACAACTTTTCTCACTGTAAGGAGTCTTAAAAAGTTTCAAGACTTTTTAGAACACCAAAGCACTGCTTTCTGTGACCCACAGAAGAGATTTTGAGAAGCTTTTAAATTAGCATCATATTGCCTGTATCACTTATCATCCTAAAACTATTAGACCAACTGTTTCTGTTATCCCTGTATCTATACTTTATTTTTACCATGCCCAATTTTGCCTACGACTTCCAGGACACTGTGTTTTTGTCCTGTCATTCTTGAATTTAAAGTCTTCTATGCCTTTCCATTACCTATGCAAAAACTTTCAAACTCTTTAGTTTGGCATTTGCATTTCTTCAAAAATTGATCCCAACCTACATGATAATTTTTCTAGAAGTTTGAACCAAGATTGGTGAATTGCATGCTCCACTATGTACACACTATGTTCTTGCCAATGTGAACTGTTTTACTGTTTTCAAAAGCCATGTTGGATCTTCTGTTCTTTTTCTTTCTTTTGGTATAACACCAGTGAACTGTACTCTTTTCTCCTCTATGCCGTCCATAATCTTGCCATTCTTAAGAAAATTTCTATATTACACAACCTTTATTACATGCCTTTGATTTGTAGATTTAATTCATGATACATGCAAAGGTTAGTTTTGTTTTATTTCATATGCATACCTTTTAGACCTGTTTCTATTCTTTGTAATATATAGCACAAAACTTCACTTTTTGGAATATGTACAAAAATTACTATTTCTTATATGTAGGAGTCATCCATGAGAAATAGAACAATAAAAGTTCTTCGTAGAGAATATGTTTAAATTTTGTAGATAGATAAATAGATAAATTAGTAAAATTCTTGTGAAGCCCACTATAAATGCATTCCTAAATTTTTCTCTGTTAAAGGAAATATTAAACATTAACTAACTCAACATTTAAAATGTATTAACATTTTTCTATTTGTATTTATTAAAGACACTTAGAAATTCCAATCCATAACTTCTAATCACAAGATGCAATGAAATATAAATTTATTAAATTGATGATAACCACAAGCAAAGAAACATGGCATTTATTTGATTAAAGACACTTAGAAATTCCAATCCATAACTTCTAATCACAAGATGCAATGAAATATAAAGTTATTAAATTGATGATAACCACAAGCAAAGAAACATGGCATTTATTTGGCCTTTAACCCTCACTAGGGAAAAATGAATTATTTACATTAGCATGTGTGAATTATCAAAACCAATTTGTGGACCCCACCAGGGTGAGAAACACACTTTAAATCTTCTAATTCTTCCCAGCTCACTTACCAACTTACAGTCAAAACAGAACAAGTAAAAAGCCCTACTTATTTGAAAAACCGTGATCATTCAGGGCCTAGAATACAAGACAGGCACTCATTTTCTGGAGGCAAAATTGGCTTCACTTCATTGTCACACCCAAGGTCTAACAAAGGGACAAATTGGGATTATTATAGAAAACCCTACAAGTAATATGCAAGATAGATTTGTATCTCAATATAAGCAAAGACAATATTCACATTGTATTTTTAATAATCACCAAAGTACCATTTTCGAACATTCACTCAATGTAGGTATCATACCAAGAGCTTTTAAGAAAAGCATACATGACAGTCTCAGTTCTAATGATTCTACACTGAGGTGCCTATAATAGTAAGGTCACATTCAAAGCAAAATTAATGTATAAATTTAATATCAGAAAAAAAGAGAGTGAACAGACTTGCTGCTCCAAAAATATCTGGTGTTAAAATTGGTATGTGAAATCTTCCTTATTATCACTACAATGGCATTGTACAGTACAGAGCTAGCACAGATTCCAGAGTATAAATGCTTTTTGTGGCCATCTTACTGAAAGGTAGATGATGACATTATTATTTGAAAATAAACCAACTGACTTTACATTTTTAAGTTGTTATTTTCTTTATAAGGATAAATGAATTTGTACTTCTCCCAATGAATCATTTGCAAATTTCCTCTGCTATGAACAGCATTTTACTGGACACCAAACAGAACATATTATGTAGAGATTTTTATAATTTGATGTAAAATATTATTTTAATTATAGAAATTTCAGTGTAGTTTAACATTTGGCAAGCTACCACAAGTCCTCGAAAGTGGAAGTATAAATTTCAAGAAGATAATGCAAACAGCAGCAGCATTCTTTGCACATAAAATGTTGCAGAGAGCAATTATCACTTCATTAATTTGTAATGAAGACCAAATTGCCTGTAAGGGATGGTGGCTTTCCATCTCAAACCACTTGCAGAAACAGCAGATCTCTAACTCTAGCATGTGCTGAGAAATAAAATTGTTAAATGACCATTTTCTCAATAGCAGTAGCAACAATAAAAATCATTAATTAAAGCTGGTGATACCAGCACGTTTATGCTTGATAAATTTAAAGAATGCCCGTAGTTATCCATCTTCCTACTCTAGGAACATGATAAAGTACTGTTCACAAATTATTAGAGTTTTTATATTGCTGTAGTAACTGTCCTACGTCAGACGTAGAAAAAGAAAATGGGAGATATATAGAATTGGTGACATATAGCATTTGGTGGTTTTCCTAGTCCTTAAAAAAATCTCTGCAACGGTCCTCCAGCAGTAACATCTTCAGCAGAAGGGCTGAGTCATACAGACTCAGGAAGAGCTCACAATACTTTCTAAAGTTTGAATTATCCAAAATCAGCAATTCTGATATTTAGCCTGGCTTCTAGATTCCTATTTTAAACTTTTATTATTAGACAACAGAGGCCAGGGCTGAGTTTTTTGTTTGTTTGTTAGTTTTTTATTTTTTCCAGATTATTGCAACTATGAGAAATCCATGTATCTAGACTTTGTCTCCCTGCAGAGTCCATTCTGAAATTCATTCCCAGGAGCATAATCACAGCAAACCCTTACATCATCAAAAGTAGTGTATTATGGGGATGCTAATTTGTATATTCTAGATGATACAATTCCTTGTCACTGGGTCAACATGTATTTTTGAGGGAAACATTTTTTAATAATTAAATGGCATTTATCCTAATAATCATTCTGGTATAACCTAATTATACTAACTAAGAATTTATACCTACTGCTGATATTATTCTCTTGGATAACATTTTTAGCTAGTTGCTAAAAGGAAGTAAGGGGGAAAAGATTATATTTTCTTTAAAAGAGGGATAAGCTGCAATACATTTAGTGCACAAGCTAATATGATTTGGGAAGTATTAAGAAAGTGAGAAAAAAATAACTTCATGATTTACCTTTTAAGACTTAAAACATTTCTTAGAAATTTGCAGATAACAATAAAAAAGAAGATAATATCAACGATATTCTTACATTTACAATATTACTTTTTCACTTCAATGGTTAATAAGAAACACATGGTTCTGCACTTTACAAAATGCTAATGATGATTAATCTTGCAGCCAATAATTGTAAGTGATACTAAGTTGGTTCATGTTATTTCTTTCTTCATACATATTCCCTATTTCCCTGTTTCTTTTTCCTTATACATACTCATATCCATTTCAAAACTCAGTGTTCATCTTAGAAATATTTGAGCATTTACCATGCACCAGCATTTTAAGTATGCATGCATAATCTCTTACAGTAAGGCTGTCACTGTCAAGTCTCAGGAATAGACATATCTACAAAAGTCAATATATTTCTATTTATTCACGAGTAGCTTTTCTTAGCTCCTGCTGGTCTTAAAAATACACACACAGGTATATACTTCTAAAAGTATTATATAAACAGATGGGGTAATATAAAAGAGTTGAGACAGATGAGAAATAGAACTGTTTGGTGTGTGTGTGTGTGTGTGTGTGTGTGTGTGTGTGTGTGTGTCTATCAAATTTATTATATAAACAGATGGGGTAATATAAAAGAGTTGAGACAGATGAGAAATAGAACTGTTTGTTTTGTGTGTGTGTGTGTGTGTGTGTGTGTGTGTGTGTCTATCAAATTAGAGAATTACCTTTGTGACCAAGGGATAGAGGAGAGAGAAGATGAAGTCCATATCATTAACAAGATGTGAGCCAGAGTCTAAGGATAAAAATGACCATATCTGGGAAAGTATGGACAGTGATGTTAATAATGACTGCTAACCATTCCCCACCCACTTTTAACTTGTAAGTATTCAGTAGAAATTTGACAATGGTTTTGGAACTGTCTAATTGAATACAAGGAGAACAACACCCCAGTTCGGATAATGTATACTAAAAAGAGCTGGAAAATAGG